ACACTTGATTAATTCTCCATCTCTCTCATTGCCTTTCCATTGCAAAATACATTTTTCATGGCACTCTTGAAACTTTTATTTTGCACTAAAGCTAATTCTAAGTTTAATATTAATTTTCTGTTTAAGAGTATTCCTGAGCATCTACCTCCATTGCAGTTTCCCAAGAGTATGGAATATTTTAACTAGATTATTTACATGAGCAAAAAATTGTAAGCCACCACACATTTAGGAAATTCATCGCTTAATAAACCTCTCTCCATCATCCACCTGCTGATATCATATTATTGTCTCACAAGATTTATATAATACTGAGCCCAGTAGGTTTACAGTCCAGTTTCAATTAAAAATTTGTGGAGGAACCCCATGCCCCCACAGAAGCTGCAAAAAAATGATACAGTAAGATACAAACAGTATCCAACCTGCTACAAACAGTACCGATGCCAAAAACAAAATACACTTTTACACACAAAGATACCCAATATGGTGACCTACCCCTTTGTAAAGTGCACTACTAAAAAACCCCAAACCTGTTTCTTTATCTTATGAAGTGTTTCAACCAGCTGAAAGATAAATCCCAAAGGAAAGTCATGCAAAGAAGAATGAAAATTTAGTAGCTGTCCTTAGGGCAACATTAATTACTCCAAGATATGTTTAAAAAAGTTTATGAATAAACTTCATACATGTTGACATGAGACAATTGTCACTTTTGGTCCACCACTAGACCAAAAAAGGACATCCCACTGAAAGCTAACAACACACATATTTTGGTAAAACTTATCAAGCTACCACTGAATATCCTTTACAACTCCATGTCTCATCATTATAACCACTAGGATATAAATGTTAACCGATACTTGATAATACCTCAATAGATACTGTTAAATACCTAATTAAACACAGGAATTACGACTTCTGACAACAACAACAAAAAAGCATTATTTAATCTGTTATGTATTCTAACAGTCTCTAAAGTAGCTCTAATTTTTAAAGCACATCAGCAGCTTGTGCTGCCTTTGTTCACACAACAGAGACTTGCATCATCCCTCATCCCTACCACAACAGGTTGCCCAGAGAAGCTGCAGAGGCCCCCTCCTTGAAAGTGGTCATGGCCAGGCTGGATGGGGTTTTGAGTAACCTGATCTAGCAGGAAGTGTCCCTGCCCATGCATGAGGTTTGGAACTAGGTGATCTTTAAAATCCCTTCCAACCTTAACTATTCTGTGATTCTGAGATTCTATTAGCTACCAGGCAGAAATAAGCAGCAATGTTCTTGGCTCATATTTTCACAGTGGAAGAGGTGAAGACAAGCCTTCCAAAAACACAGTTTCCAAGTTCTCACGAGATTCCAAAGACTATCACAGTTGCAAGCAGCATTCACATCAACCAAATTACTCACTTAATTGTACCCTGTAGTAGCACAGCGAAACTGCTAATAAGGAGCTATTCCAGATGCAGATTCATTACACTGGGACCATGTTTGGAATTTTACCTCCATAATATATGCTAGTAATACCTTTTGCTTTTTAAAATATTTTAATTCCATAATCAAAAACAGGTAAAGCATTAACCTGAGTTAATAAGTTAGGCTGGGGCAAAGGCTTTCCCTTGCATCTTCCGCAGCAGAGACATTCTGATCTGCCTTCAAGCACCAATGCTGGAACTAATTGATAGTTTAAGAAGCAAATCCTTTTTCACAGTTAATCTTCAAATTTAAAATGACTTGAAGAGATTATACATGTGGGGCAAATACACTATACAAAAGTGTTCTTATATGTCTCTCAAGAACATCTGGTGATGAACATTCTCAGCCAAGGTATCAGTATAGCTGTAGAGACCAATTCAGTATGTCAACTCCTAATCTTATTAAGTTACTTTTAAAACCTTAAAAGTACTTTGCACCATCTGTGTTCCCCAGGAATGTTATGATAAATTGAAGCTGGATAATAAACGCCTATTAAATCCTCATGTGTGCTACCTTGCTGATCCCTGTACAGCACAGCCTATACCATATTCCTGGACCATGCATCATTCATCACAAAATCTAGCCACTTTCACTCTGTGAAGCTGTGGCTGAGGAGGACTATCATTATCATACAGGCATAAACAGGGATTCTTCCTGCCACTGGTTTTTAAGTTTTAGGGCAGTGGGCCTAGCAAAAAAAAAAAAAAAAAAAAAAAAGGGAAGTTTTCACACTGAAAAACAGAACTACACCTGACTAAAAACTGAACAATCCTATCAAGCTATACAGGCTAAAAAAAACCAACCGAAGTATATTTGTAAAATAATTTAATCTAAGGAAAAAAAACCAGTCTGAAATATTTTTCTGTGTGATTAGTTTTACATAGTTCTGTCTCAGTTTCTGTCACCTTGAGTTTTGGACTTTCCTAAAAATAATTTTCTTTCAAAGAGTGACAAGATCATAGATTTGGGAAACTATTTTGCACTTATACACCAAAACACACACAAACTTCTGAAGCTGAACTTTATGCCGGACCAACATGCAACAGTGACATTCAAAGTGGTGTAAATATTATAAATACATGTAGTATTTAATAGGAATATAACAAGTCCAGCACATTTGAAGCTCTACTTATTTCAGTATTAGGCATATACACTTTGAAACCCTGCAAAAGTAGCTGTACCTTTCAGGGTTTCTTTATTACTTCCTAGTTCACCTAATGAACATATCGTTACTGCCTGTGAACCCTTCTAACCAAACCTATCAACTTCCAACTACACTAATTTTCGAGAGATTCCCAGACAGATTTATATCAGTGAGCCGCAGTTTATCCCTAAAAAGGGATATCCTGTATCAGTTCCCCGGAACAGTAGAAAATGCATGCATTGCCCTTCCAGCACAGGTGGCTGTTTCAAAACTGGAAACATGGAATGTGACAGTATAGGAAAAAATTTAATGACAGTGGGAATATTCAACATTTTACCTGCATTTTTGCTAATATATACAGGAAGTTTAAATCTAATGAGATGAAGACCAAAACATTTGTTTCTATGAAGTTGGGAGCACGTATGTGGAATCATATGGGCAACATCAGTTAATTATGCTCATGTATTACTTGCAAAGATGTGACACAGGAACTCTGACAACTTCATGCCCAAGTTGTTCCTTCTACCTTTGCACTCAAATCCCATTGTTAACACAGCATATCAACATACTGAGCACTAAACAAACAGCAGTGCTGTGGCTGGTTATTTTCAATGCAAAAGAAACAGAGTCCCACCATTCTCCAAGATGACTCAGATGGTTACAGAGAGGCTCAGAAGAGGAAAGCACCACGTGTTTATGCATTCTTTAAAAATATTTAATTAATTAATTTTCAATGGCTACCTTTCACTTCCAAATCGTAAGAGAGAACTGAACTTTGCATAGAACTCTTCCAGAACTGTTGATCCTATCTCCTGGACACAACATGTGAAGAGGACTGCAAAGGCTTTTGAGGAAAACAAAGACAACATAGCAATTGGATGACAGTCCTTTAAAGCTTTTCTCAAGCTAGGGCAGGAATAACTTCTGAATTTACAGGTGAAAAAAAACAGAAGTACTTTACACTAAGCAGAGAGGCAGCACAAAAAACACACAAAATGTTGTGTTTGGAAAAAGACTCATTCCCATTACACCTGGTGCTTATCCTTAGAGTGAAGGAAATTTTTTATGAAGACAACAAACAAAATAACATATTTTGCGAGAACAGAAGGGGAATATATTTATTTCAAATACCTAGTGTTCAATCTGTATCAACTTGCAAATACAAAACAATAAACTAAGTTAAATTATCACCAACATACTAGACTAATCAATCTATAAATCAACTTACCAATGATGTTGATAATTCAGTAGCATACTTTTTTTCAAAAAGTCTAGTTTCTGTTTATCTTCTGGCTTGGTAGTATCATATGTTTTTGTACAAACAGGTTTACATATCTCCTTCTTGTTGAATGTGAACTAAGAAAAATGAAAGATACATGAGCAAAAAGGTTGTAACAAACTGTAATTTCAATATTTTAAAAGTTGCCACTATGCATTTGCAATTGCCTGTACTATTACAATAAAAACACCTAACAAATTACCAAGGCTACCTATAGTAATTCTCCAGAGGAGGTTATCTTGGTGTGCATTATAAAACCCTCCTGTGCTCACTTGTAGGGGCCAAACACTAAGAGCTCCTTGTTACTGGTTAAATCCTGTTTTCTGCAATGATTTACCATACAAGTCATTTGACCTCACAGCCACAATGTTGTCCCAGGCAGATTCAATTGATAACTTCCTCTCCTACTACATGTAGGAGAGAAGGTGAGAGCTCCGGTCACCATAAAGCCAAGCTAGCTAACATCACTTCTACTTCCATTTTACAGCTGCATGAAGTATTTTCAGATCTGGTTCCAAGAAATCACAGTACTCAACTTGCCCTCAAGGGACAGGTGAGGAGCAAGAATCAGGTTTTAGCATGTTCCAGAGAGAAGACAACCTCCGCAACATTTCAGGCTGCAGCTTCGTGATGTAAAGTGCACAGTTACAATTAGATTAAATTGACAGATTTGTATTATGTGGAATTTCCGATTTTGAAGCTCTTCTGAGAGAAAGCCCTTGTGAAGAGGACATTCAAGATTCTGAGCTCCTTTTGTTACATCTGAACATTCATATTGCTGAACACCCCTTGTCAGACAACAAACCATGTAAGGAGATGGTTCTATCCTCTCTCCAAACAATACTTGGCCAAGGTTTTCAGAGGGACGTGTCTTTCCTTCCGCTTGACAAAAATCAAACCTGAATTAGAGAAAAGACACAAAAATTAATAAAATAGTCCCAGCTGCAAATATTAGAACTCAAATAGTACTCCCAAATCAACACCTTAATCACAAGGAACTATACAGCTTTCCTTCTAGACAAGTTTCTTCCTTGATCCTGCAGAGCAAGTGTGAAAATCACTGCCTCATTTTTAATAAAACAAAACCAACCCAATAATCTAATCTCTTCATCAGCTATTTCAGAACTCAGTTTATATTAAGCATGGTATCATAAAAGTTTCTTTCAGTAATTTGAAGTTTGCTATTCGAACAAGGATTTTAGCCAAGAAACCCCCACATAGTTTCATGACAATTCTGAAAGAAAAGCAAGCAGGACAGATTCTTGAGTGGTGAAGAATAAAAAAATAAAAATACACACACATTTATATATACAGACAGCTCCTTTAAAACAAGCACTATTCAATAAACAGATTATTGCAGTTTTATTCACCAACACATTTAACAGCACATCCTCCAAGTTTCTGCAGCCTAATTTCAAGTATATCACATTTGTGTTCATTAAACTGTAGACAGAACTAGTGCTTAACCTCTTCAGTATTAACAGTCAAAATATTCTTTGAAGTAACAACTTTACATAGTTGTACCAGGCACTGATATATTTTGTGGACTCCTATGCTGTGTGCCAAGAAAACATTTAACACCTCATTAAGATAATTGATGTGAAGATCACACCTCATTACCACTTTAACTCATCTGGCTATAGGCTACTGAAGACAGCAGTAATACTTTGATCTATCAAATGACAACTAATGCAGAAGAGTAAGTATTATACACACACACACTTTAACCTTGATTTACTCTAAAGCAGTGATTCAACCAACATGAGGGACTATGAGTCCATGCACTAGTTCTAAAGTACAAGCAAGGAAAACTGAGAAGAAGGAAGCAAAGTATGCATCCATCTATTGGCTGAAAATTCTGTATTTGTAAATTTACGTTAGCAAAACAGGCATTTCTCACCGGCAAACTGCTGTACCAAGATGTGAATAATACTTCAAGATAAATGAAATGCATCTTTTTGGAAGAGCTGACAACTAAAATGACATAAACAGTATAATATACTTACGCAGTATATTCATAGGGAAGGACAGACTCTACAGAGTCAAGCCTGTTCACAAACAGCTTGATTGCAGACTGAAAGAGATCAGACAATCAGCAGTTATATTAAAGCATTTCTTCAATTCTGACAGATATATGAAAAGAAATTTATATGAAAGAGACAGGATAGCTGAAAATAGATTTGTGTAATTACACATCTTGAAATGTAGAATCTTGTGTAATGAACTGTATCTACTGAGAGCATAAGTAAAACGCTATCTAACCATCACAAAAATAGAGAGCATGTGACAAAACCACTTTAAGGCTAATGTAACCATCAAGCAATCATGCACAAGAATAATACAATTACCACACTTGCCAGTGCTTTAGTTTAACATACCAAGTTAGAGCCACAGTAGTCATTACCACAACTTTTGCACAATAAAAATCTTTTAAAAGCATAAATAGAAGTATGGATGAAATCAGTACTTCTCCCCATAGTTCAACTGCTCCACAGTTTTATCCATGTAGCAACTGAAAATTTAACTATGAGGATTTAAACAATGTATTCAGACTCATACACTATTTTAAATTGGAACATAAGCTCTTCTCAGAGAGAAGGCAAGGATATCCACATTTACTTTTTTATAGAAGACTACCAGTAACTCTTGACTGACAATGCAAAATTCAGTCTGCTGTGGTTTCAGACTAGTTAGGTCTCATACATTAATTACAGTTGGGATTGCCTGCTGCTGTGGAAAAGGAGAACTCTCAGTCTTTCCTCTTAGTCTCAAAATCTCTTCCCTTATTCTACTCACACAGTCCTAATACCTTTCTACTGTTTACCTTACACTGTTCTGGCAGTTATCTGTGCTTGCACATTACACCAATTAAATCGGCTAAACCACAAAAAGACTTAAACCAAAACAAATTTGAAAGAGCAGTTCTCAGCAGCCTAGCAAGTTTAACTGTCTTATTGTGCAATCAGACAAAAGCTGGAGACAGCAAAAGGAAGTTGAGTGCTTTCAGGAACAAGACCTCTCCCTTTCAACAGCAAGCCATCTATTTTCTCACCATGGATCAACAGGAGAGCTTTTCCTCCCTATGAAAATACACCCAAATGTAACCAAACCAAGAAGTTCTGGAGGAAAAAAAATGTATATATATACACATATATATATATATTTACTTGTTTTCATGTATCTGTACCTCAGCTACTTCACTTGGGTACTTTGTTTTACTGACACCTAGTAGATGTGCATGTCAGGATGCAGTTCCACGAGACAGGCAGCTGTGAGCTGTGCAGGTTCACTCACAAGTGAAGACACACCTTCCTGCTCCTCCTACCTGTGCCCTAAACTATGCAAACCTGCACACTTGCCATAATCCTGTAAGCCACTTCAACTCACTAACACAACAAAAAAACCAGTCTGGCAAAAAGTTGGATAGTTTCCAGCCATGTCCATAAGCTCAAAAAAGGTTTTAACAAGTAATCCAGATGGGACCATGCAGAGGACAGAAACATGTTGCCCAAAGACAGGAATGGAATCTCTCACTTCCAGCAGTAAGGAAATAGAGTGGTTGCAGAACCACAGCCTTAAATTAGCTGTTTTTCATTGGAGAAGGAGTTTTATCTGAAGGCTCAAATTTTCCATAAAAAGTAAACAATTTCCCATAGAACTGCAAATCCCCTTTGGAGCCATCAGTATATTTTTTTAAAGTAAGGATTCTTAAAGAGTTACTATTTAAGTCTGCACAGATCACATGAAATTTCTGATGGCACTCCAACCAGAAACTTAGAAAAAGTAGCCAAACTGAGTTTGCCCAAGCAGATTTGCAGGTAGTTTGGAGGAAGGGGGAAAGTTACAAGTCACATCATTCTTGTGCTGCTAGCTACATGTCCCACTAAATACATCCCATTCCATCTCACCAAACAGAGGACGGGAGGTCCACAGAGGTTGTAACAGACCAGTATCACCAGATATCTGGTCTGTGCATCTAAATTCTCAAGGCAGTGGAAAATTCAGTATTATTGCTTACATCATAATCAACCGTGACAATCAAAAAACTCCACAAGAACATGTTAAAAAACTAAGGTTGTCCAGGGAAGCTTAGTTTTACCCACTCACATAAATATTATCATATAGCAATTATCTGATCACATACTGTCTCTCCACACCAGACCACATTCAGTTGCAAACTACATGGAGAGAATTAGATGTGAAGAGTGAGTTAGACTTCTCCATATGCTTTGTCTCAGTACATAAAGTGGCTGGCATGAGGCAGAGGAATATAAGAGGTGGCTAATTGCAGAAAGAGATTCTTGCAGTAATGCACCTGCTGAGGTTATCCTGAAATGTTCAACTACCCACTGGTGGTAGATTTATACTACCTAAGCATTTCACTTTTACAAAATTTTTAAGATAAGGAAAAAAATGTTTTGTACACATTATATAAGGGAAATAAAACAAGAGACACCTGAGAAGGATCACCCCATAAATGTCTCAGGTTGGTTACAAAAGACAGTAGCCAACCTGGTTTACTTAACTTAAAAAAAAAAAATATAAAAAATTTCAGCCTCAATCCTAGCTTAAAACAGGAATAATTCAAATCTATAAATGTTTTTTTTCACAGATACTGTAAAAAAACTGCAAACTGCAGCATGAAAGTCAGCCTGTACTTGAAGAAAAGAAGTTCCTTAAGAAGGTAGCACAGTACTGTAACAGGTCACACAGGGAGGTGATGGATGGTCCATGCTTGGATGTTTTCAAGGCTTGCTTAAACAAAGGTAGAGCCGAGCTGATCTAGTTTAGGCAACAGTTGTGCTTCAAGCACGACGCTGGAGTATGTGGCCTCCTAAGGTCACTTCCAAACACCCATTTCTATGATCCTATAAAAGAATGTCCACATAGTATTTTACTATTACAACAGAAGCAGCACAGAAAAAAGAGTGAAAAAAAAATCAACACAGCTATGCATTAGGTGCAAGATTTGGCTTGTCTGAATAGAACAATACACTTAAAGAAGGGAAAACACTTTATAACAACATGTCTTCCATGTTACCTGCTGATTCATGACAGCAAATGTGCCAGAGGAGGCTCAGAGTGGATATTAAGAAAATTTTCTTCACTAAGAAGGTTCCCAGGCACTGGAACAGGCTGCCCTGGGAAGTGATGAATTCATCACCCCTGGAGGTATTTAACAGGTGTGTAGATGTGGTACTTAGGGACATGGCTCAGTGGTGGACTTGGCAGTGTGCAAGGTTAGTGGCTGGACTTGATGACCTTACAGGTCTTTTCCAACCAAAATGATTCTGATTCTACAATTAAGTCAATGCAAGGTATTTACCCAAAGCATACAGTTTAAATGGACTCTTATTCTGAAGAGTCACAGACCAGTGTTTCATCTCATACAGAAGCCAAGAGATAAGATAGTGCAAGAGCCACTTTCAGCAGCAGTAAGACAAAGAAAAACGACGGGACTTGAGCTTTCTCATTCAAGTCTGAAAGCATGGTCTGGAGTAACTTCCATCACTGCAGCAAGAAACAACTTGTAAAGCTCACTCAGAGTAGCAAAGGCTATCTTAAGTACAGACACCCTGCCAGCCAGCATACTTACAAGTCATTTGGTTACGCGAAATTTGCTCGTCACTTATGCAGGCATGAAAATAAATTTAACCCTCATTTGAGACTCTGGGGTCTAGAAGCCCCCCCACTTCAGCTTCGTGCAGGCAGGAAGGCACAGAAAG